GTTTTAACATATGACATAGAAACTGAACAACAGTGTTTCCTGAAAATCCTCTCCTGTCTGATCATTTCATAATAACATTTAAATTTACAATAACTGATTACACAGCAGTGGGGAGTAGACTTCATCACAGTAGATGTCTTTCTGAAAGCGCTGTAACTGAGTTTAAGAATATAACTCTCCCACTGATATCATCTTCAGAGCAGCTACTCCAAAAGGAGTCGACATCTATTTAAGAATTTTACCTCCTTACTGCGTATGACTCTGGATACTGTAGCTCCTGTAGAAACAGAGCCTCAAAACAAAAGTACTTGGCTTTCTGGTATAACTCTCAAATGTGCAGATTAAAGCAGATACTGGTGATAAGATTGCTTTCAGAGCTGTTGCCCAAGCAAAGGAGGAGGGTGCATCTGACCCCCTCGGCTTTAATTGGTCCAGGCCAGAGGCGATCATGACCAATTGGCCAATCCACCACCTTTCATACTTTATACCGTTCCCAAAAAAGAAAAAAAAAATGGAATGGCCAGTCCAGCTGTGCTCGTAAGATGGAGAGGAAATGGTCTCACTAATTTGGAAGAAATTCATCATTTAGCCTGGAAAAAAAGTCCTCCGTAAAGCTTGAATATCTTAAATTAAGCAACTTAATATTAACAACAGTTACCTCAAGGTGAAGAAAGAAAAAAAAGTTCCAACAGTTCATATGGCTGCAGTCATAGTAGCAGAAATCAGTACTAAAAGACTGACTGACTTCTGAAAACATAAATGTAATAAATACAGAAAAGGTGAGCTATTATACTCATTTCCAGCTCCATACTTTATTCTTAAACAGTTTGGCAATTTACAGTACACAGCGTGAATCATGCCAAGCGTTTTTGATGAGAAAAAGGCTGAGGATAGACAGGAGCTGTAAACCCACAGCAGGTGATTAGAGACAGTAAACACACCTGGCAACACAACTGAAACTCATCAGGGAAAATAAAACTGAGGAAAGTAAAACTGAACACTAAACACACTGAACAAGGATCACTAAAATAAAACAGGAAATCACTAACACAGAGACAAGAAGTCAAACATATGAAATGTCCACAGAAAGACAAACATGGAAAAAAGAGACAAAACAAGACTGAGTGCAGAGAAAGGAAATACAAAGAGGAAGTAATAAACCGAAAGTCATCAATAACTAACAAGGATTAAAGGCACAAATAATAAAATCAGAAACCAATACCAGAGGCCAAAATAACTATAAAGCACAAAATACTATTTATCAAGTTTATATTAGAAATATAATCAAACTCTTCAGCTTCTTCACCCTCCATTTAAACCTGTCATTCAAACTGTGCAGTGGGGCGTGGACCACAGAAAAATGTGAAGAGGAACTAAACTGAAGAGTGAACTCACTGTTTAATTCATGTTTTGTCTTTCAGGGGGATCTGTGATTGTGAGAGACGGTGATGATGCCATTTTACCCTGTTCCCTCGGCACCAATGAGAACCTTAAGAATGTGCGGTTTGAGTGGACGAAGGAAGGAACTGAAGAGGAGGTGTTTATCTATGATTCTGTGGTGGGTTATAGTCCTGCCCTCGGAGGTCGAGTCTCACTTTTTCGAGGTGATCTGCAGCACGGCAACGCCTCCATAAAAATAAATAACGTTCAACTGGAGGACGGAGGAATCTACACCTGTATCTTTCCAAGCAGAGGAAAAACATTCTGGATTGAGCTTGTTGTTGGTGAGTGCTGTTATAAATCAGCTGATTATTTACAGATGAAACAGTCAGCATGCACATCTGGGTCTCACCCCTACAGCACACCTGTAGTGATATTTGCAATATTTGGTGGACAAAACTGAGACGTCCCATCTGCATGCTGGTCCTGCTCCTGTCTACTTATCAGAAATCTGACGCGCTCGCAGAGTCGTCACTAAACAAAATAAAATCTCTGTGACGTCTCAACTCTGTGAGGAACTTTACATCACACAGACCTCAGTGGACCTGTGGATGTAGAAGCTATGATCCAGTCTGATGCTCACATGTGTTTCTGGTACAGCAAACTGAGATAATCCGGGTAAACCCCAAACATACACTGTATATAAAAGCTGGACATAGCCACCATGACATCACTAACTGGTTAATGACGTCCTGTTATGGTATCTCAAGCTGACTCTTTCACCGTCCCCATTTTGGTGTTTAGAATTATCTCTTGCTTTATCCTAATTTTCCTAATTATCCTAAAACTACTGATAACTTATTTAAACAGGTTTTTTCACATTTGTGAAACTGAAAGATTTCCTAAAACTAAATATAATATAAATATAATATAAATATAAGCAGCTAAATCTGATCAAACTGTAAGTGAAAAATATTGATCAAATAAAACAATACAAAACCACATTGGTTCTCAGCACCTGTGTTCAATTTAAACATGTTTCTCAAGTCTTCCTGGACTTCCTGAAACGTGTACCTGCAGTTCTCTGGATGCAGCTGCAGTTCTCTTATAATTTATTTACAAAGATTCAGCAGAGAGAAATCAGCATCTCAGTTCAGTTCATTTCTGCTCTGTTTGGGGGAAATCCCTGTATTATTGAAGTGGGGGTCGCCTTCACCCAGCATGACTGAAGAGTTTTAGGACAGAGTTTTGGTACTGCACCATCTGATCTCATAACATCTCCCCCCAAAAAGAAAAGACAACAGGCAGAAGACATCATTTTGTGCAATTTGCAAAGTAAATTGTGTGCTGCAGACTTTATAATTCACATTTGTGTGATTTGTTTAAATATTTTCTTCCTAAAAAGTAAAATCTTACAATTACATATGCTGTAAGGCCACAAAACCACATCTGTTCACAACAGTTACAAAACTGACACCGTGCCTCTTCAGTAAATCCAGCAGCTCTTCAACTTCAAAAGAAGATTTTGTGCTGATGCAGATGTTTGTAAATATGACCCTAAATGTTCCTTCTTTAAAATTCTAATCCTTGTAATGAAGGGATATTTTTTACAGGCTGTTCTTGCTTATATGACAAAACATCAGTTAGGACAAATTGTGCTACATCATTAAGGACAGATTAATGTAAGGTCGTTCCCACTGTCAGCACACGCCTCTTCTCTTTTCCTAACTCCGTGTCAATTCCCCACCTTTCCTT